CAACGTACAGGACCTGACCTTCAGGCCCGTGGACAGTGCAGCATCCAGTGACTCCAGGGATACTTGGCAGTGGCTGGCATTTGGACAAGGACTGATGTGCATACCTTTGGGATGACTGAGAATACTGACCACTCATACAGGCATCACAGAACCACCACGAAATGAACTGGCAGATGTTGAGACATTTGAAAAAGATGGGAAAAAAAGGAGGGGAGAGTTTCCTTCACACCATAGCCCTTAACTTTCTAAGACCATGGAGCCTGATGATCAGTTGTCTCTCATTCAGAGCAGCCATTTCTGTAAACTGTGTGTGAAGGGCTCATCTGCCTTGGTAACTTTCTGCATTCATTTTTAAAAGGTGTAGAGGGATAGACACAGAACAAGACAATGAATCTAATAAGCTAATAAAATGTGTACTTTCATACAAACCTTGTGTATATTGAGCTAAGTAATGAAACACTGGTATGGTATTTCCAGATTTCCAAACTGAAAACAAGTGGCAGCCAACTTGAATTCTCCATCAACTTCAACATTGATTTTCATTTGGCTTTCCACTTGTAACTTTTAACACTTAAAAACAGTAGTGAACTTCAACATAAAAACTAGTATTCTCTTTAGATGATATACTCACCTTTTCTGAATCATTTGAATATACTTCTCCAAACAGTGCATTTTACAGGTTCTTATGTGTTAGTAGTGGTAATAAACTGAGGTTGTTTGCCTAATGGTTTTGTTGAATTGCATTTGGATATATCTATACATACTAGCAAAATACACAGCCTTTGGAAATGTTAATTTCCCTAAAAGCCATGGGACAGCAACAATACGAAAAATGTGTGACTCAGAATGAACCAATGGGCATAGGTTAAGCAAAACATTGGCTTTACAGACATAGGAATGGGAATTTCTTATGAAGCACCCACATCAGCTTTGTTTTACTTTTCTTTTACTCCCTCTCTCTCCACATTCCTCAGCAATTCCTTTGTGTATGTTCAAAAGGAAGTTTTCTTCCTCAGAAATGGAGAAGACAGATATTCTCCTCCTTGTCCCTCCAGCTTGTTCCCCACTCTTTTTTCCACACCAAGTCAGCAGACATGAGGCAGGACTTCAGCACCACTGCACCACAAAGCTGGCAGACACCAACCAAGCACATGGAGACACTGGTGGATGTCACAGCCTCACAGGAAATCCAGGACTATATTGCAAATTGCCTTCTTCAACTCAGGCTTTGTATTGGCAACATTCACATGTTTATTCTGATCTTCCTGCAAAAAGCTCCTGATGTGAAACCAGAAGTAACTTCCATTCTCATTCACTGCTTTTATTAATTATTCTGGCCATGTCAGCCTTCCCAGAAGACACAACTAACAGGGGAAGCTTCCTGGCAACTAGCTGGTTTCCCAGAATTTGTCCTCTCGCAACAATCTGAATTTAAGAGTTACTTCAACTGGCTAGGCTGCAACACAGTTTCTTCCTTCTTTTCTTTTTCTTCCATACAGATTTATTCTTGGGAATGACAGAGTACTTTCGCTTTTGAAGCCTCTTTTTATAAGCTCAAACGTATTTCCTTGGTTATTTAACCAGTGAACCAACACAATGTGATTTCGAGTCACTGGACAGAGAAAAAGAGTGGGGTGGTGGCACACAGATGATCTCCCCTTACACTCTGCTACGCTGCTAATTCAACCACACACCTGTTTTTGATGCTGACATGACACCGAGAACAGTCTTTCTTAGCTGATACAAGACCACTCGCATGATATTTGCTAATTCCTACCCAAAATATGGTTATGTTTTGCTGCTGGTGAAAGATGCATCATCCCTACAAGGAATCACATTTTCATCTAGACATTGCACACAGGAGAAAGCATAAATTACCAGTGTTAAACTATCAGGTTGCTTATAGTCTGCCCTAGTGCAACGTGAAAGCCAAAAATATTTTCCATGAGATGCGCTGGTGATTATCGACTCCTTTTTCTGTTGGTTTTTGGCACATTATTGCTTGGCTTCAAACGCACGCCTGCAGGACTTCTGTGCCCACCAGGCAGTGCCACCAACATTTTTCAGTTTGTCTTTGCACTTGTACTTTCCTAGAATACAAAAGCACAGTGCTCTGCTGACCACTGTTTTTTCCATGCAGTTGTTCAGATGCGTCCACTTAGTAACCTGCTCATTGGTGATCTGTAGTACGTATGTATTGGCAAAATTTTCCTGGTAGAAAGTTTGGTCAGGGTGGGAGGTGTGGGTGGACCGGCTGGTGAAGACTCACAGCTGGAAGCAGCTGCAGGGAAAAAGGAGAGATCTCCCATTCCTCAGGAAGAAGAGTTAGTTCCAGTGCTGGCTCAGCACCCTGCTCATTCACTGCCAAGCCCAGTTTGGTCTCAATAAAGCAACTCATACCTATATGCTAGAAATATTTTGCAGAGCTTAAGCTAAAGGATAAAGTTCATGGAAATCGGTGAAAGTGCAATAGCCATTTATTCTCCTCTGGAAAAAAAAATGACAATCCATTTATATATTCAGACTAAGCATATTTCTAAGGGGATAATTCAGAGCAAGCTGGCTCACAACACTACAACGAGGGGGATAGTGAAGAGAGGGACGCAAGCTGAGCCAAAGGACACAGTTTTGCAGGAAGACAGGCTGGGCAGCAGCTATCAAGGGAAGGGGAAAAAGGGAGGCCACAGAAGCAGCCCAAAGCCTTGGACCTGAACGAGGACACAGTAAACACTGTGGACAACTTGGGGAACCTCTTCAGGACTGGCAAAGACAAAATGTGGGAAGAGACACCTAACTTGTCAACTAACCTGACCTAATGATACTGCCAATATTAATCCCACACAAAACTTCACATGAAACTTGCATCTCGGACACTGCTAGGAAGCGAATGGAAACAGCAGTACTACCAAAAAAAAGGTAGGAGACTTTCCCCATGGTGAGAAGTGGGAAGACACTCTCTGATGTCGCATTTCTGAATCAGTCGCTCAGTGCTGAGTGGGAGAAGACGTGAAGTAATGAATGGAAACAGAACAAGGATGTGTCATAAAGCCCCCAAATATAAACCACAGGAAAACTGGGAGTCAATTCAGTACTATGCCTAGGGGCAACATCTTTCATTGAAAAAGGTTAAAACACCAGATCTTAAAGTATTTTACCTCTCTGCTGGGGAAAAATTGCCCCAAAATAGCTGCTTTGAAGGCTTGGCAGTTGATGGACTCAAAAAGTCTGACATTCTTAATAAAAGGGGACCACCTCAGGTCTGCTTCACAGAAAGAAAGAATTAAAAAAATTAATACTAATTTACACTTGTATTTACCTGTAATATTTACAGGGTAATTTGAAAGGGTCAGATCTACAAAGTAAGTCCAGTATGTGGTACTAGAAACAGAAAAAATTATCATCATGATTCATGAAAAATCTTTAATGGAATAAAAATGACCCCTATTTAACTACAGGACTCTGCAGGATTACAATATTCAAATTCTCAGTGCTTTGCAGGATTGAAAACTAAATTTTCTACAAACTGCAGGAGTTGCACACCCGCCCATCATAAAGTCTAGTGGACAGACTAAAAAGCTAGCGGGAAACACATTTCCCAGGTTGAAAAATATTATTAAGGTGAGAAATGTGACCAACATACATTTAAGACATTACTGTATATCACATTTCTGGAGAAACAGTCACTAAGCTAGCTTTTATTAGCAGTTTCTAAAACTTGTCTAACATTAGAAATACAGCAAAGATTGTCTCAAGATTTCAGTACTTCTGTAAAGTAAGTGTTTCTAGTTAACAATACGATGGTTTATAATATAGAGAACATTAGGTAAAACAAAATATGCACAGGCTAAATAAATGGTATTCACTTCATGAAAGGCAGCAAGAAAAGCACCAAAATACTGCAAAAAAAGTAGAGCTGGCTAAGGTCTTGAAAGGAAAAAAAACAGGGCAACACACTAGACACATAGGCTATGGACCCAGATGGCCAGCATAGCCTGCTTCAATAGGAGAATGCTACCTTGCATCTCTGGAGAGAGAAAAAGGATCCTCGTTGCTTAAAAGAGTGAAATAATGGAGAGATGCTCAGTGCCACAGGAGGATGGGAGCAGGGGCTGTCCACTCTGATTGAGGAGCTGGAACAGCTCACTGCTTTTGAAAAGATTTGGCTGGAGCATCACAGCACGAGTGAGGGCACAGTTCGGTCAAAGGTGGATACATCTCCTGACGTGCTCTCTTGCACGTCACCTGCCCCGTGTGCATTGCCTGCTTATACCTTAAGCACAGCTGATGCAGAGGAAGCCCACAAAATATATCTCTCTCTCACCTCCCCCTCTAGCCATCAAAATCTCATTGACTTAATTTCTCCCAAAGAGATAATCCTTCAGCCTTGATCTTGACTCTCTGTCTGGTTCTCCAATTTAACGGGAGGTTAAGACCTGGATCCCTGGGGCTCTCATAAGAATGGTGCCCCCCACAATATCAACAGAAGTGAGGTTGCTCAGTGATCAACACCAGTAGCCTTTTCATGGACTTGCCTCAGCACGGATAACTTTTACACTCCAGAAAAGTTGCCTTGCACTAGGTCTTACAGCTGTTGGACTGTTATTTTCACCTCACTCAGTTTCCCCCAGCTTACTCTTTGTCTAAGACCTCACGTGCACACAAACAGCTCCCATAATCATTCTGGCAATCTCTCTGTGTCTTGCTTTATCAGAAGGTGCTGCTCTCCTTGCAGCAAGGTGGCAATTTAGATTTGTGCTTTTGCTAAGTGCCTAGCTTTTCACCTGACTGTAGTCAGGATGGGCGCATAATGTGGAAATACACCAGCTGTGGTAATAGTAACGGTGTGATGGAGCACGTGGCTACTCAGAAAACAAAGGAGAATAATTTTCCACTGTTGCTGCATCACAACCCCAATAACACAACTGAACAGCAGAACTTGAGACTTGAAGGGAGGGATTCTCTCTACCGCTGCAGACATCTATGCACCCCTGCAACCCATGTCAGTCTGACACAGAAGACGGAGCCGGTCGGACACAGCAATTAGGACGCCTAAAATTCTGCAGCATGGACTGGAACACATTGTGCTGCCTTCCTTTCAGTTTTTTATTTGAGGATGTATCTGAGGAAATGGACTTCCGGGTCTGACTGTTCTGGGCCTGGATCAGTTTCTTGTGTTCCCGTATTTGTCTCTGTAAGTGGTTCTGGATGGCAATTCCCAGGTATTCTGGATCAAGGGAAGCACCATAAACCTCCCATGTCATGCCTTGCTCATCCCACACAACATCCCTGATGTGCTTGGACTGCTTCACCTGCACTTTCGCCTCCATGGCCAGGGTGGACTGCTTTTTGTTTTCAACCAGGTTTGGCAAGACCTGAGCTGAAGCAGAAAGAGCTGCTGTGTGAAGTTCGCGTCTGGACTCCTTGGCCGGGAGGCCTCGCTGTTGGGGAGCTGCTGATGACTCCAAGGAAGGGGTGACATGTGCAGAACTCGCACTCAACCTAGGTGTCAGTCCTGTCTGCAGGCTCTGACCACTGGCTGGCTGAACCTGGCCAGCATCTCCCCTCTTGCTCTCCTCCTTTTCACCTGTATCCACCAAGCATGTCTGTACGCGGACAGCAGTAGCTTCACTGCTAACATTCACTTTAGGATCAAGCACCACTGAGATTTCTTCCTTTGGTTTTACCACAGATTGATTAGGAATGGCCTCGCCTTGACTGGCACCTTTACATTGCACAGACTTTTCCTCAGAGCTGCCCACAACCTTCTGCTTGACTTCACTGTCTGTGCTACAGAGTAAAGGTAACCGGCTGCTTCCGGCATCACAGACAAGATCTTGCATGTTGGTCTTGGTTTCTGGGACAGCAGCAGCAGAAGTAGTGCTTGGATCACCAGTGCCAGACCCAGACTGTGCTGGTGTTTGGTTACTGGAGTTACCTACAAGCTGCTCAGCAGGCATGGGCTTTGGTGGGACAGGAGCATCCACTGGCAGCTTAGCAGCATCCTTGCCGTCATGGGCTGTGCCGATCACTTCAGCATTATCCACAGATATCCCTTTGGAGGTAAGGGCTGCAGGGCAGAAGGGGAAAGCAGGTTTTGCATTATCGAGCGACCCCATGTCAGATGGGACCCCAGGCAGTTTGACAGGCTGGGTTTGGGCTGAAGCAGTAACAGCCATAACAGCACTCGATTTTGACATGGTATCAGGAGAACATGGAGACTTTTGTTGTGAAGAGCAACTGTCAGTAAGTGCAGACTGGCTCAGTCCCATACCTCCTTGGTAAATAATACGCAGTTCTTCCTTCTCATCTGGAGGAGGATTCCCTTTTAAGAAGGCAGCAAGGATGATGGGACTGGTGGAGGCTGATTTGCTCTCCACAGTAGCCACAGCCTGTACCTCAGCATCTCTCCATGTCCTGCTTTCTGCTTCCTGAGTTGAGGACCTGCTCTCTGACTGAACCGTCATTGTACCTGTTTCTCTGAATTTGGAGAGCTGGGTGGGGCCTGGACTTGCTGGCTCAGCAGCTGCATTGGGTACAGGATGCTGACTCTTGCGGCTAGACGGGGCTTGGGCCTCGCTGCTCAGCAACTCTTCAGTTTTATCTGTGGGATGCAAGTGCATGGTGTCTGCAGCCCTGCTTTTTGCCTCCAAACTGTTCTGTGGGTCTCTTCCCATGTCAGCTTCGGTGTGCCTTGCTGGTGAGGCTGGCTGGCATGCAGCAGAAAGAGTTTTTTCTGTGTCCCAGTCTTCTTCCCCTCTTTGCAAAAAGTTTGTCTGAGAAATATGACAGGTCTCATTACCCCTAACAAGGTCATCAGGGGAAGAATAATTTATCACCTCAAGTGCTGGCTGATCATCAGTCCCCTGAGGTTTCAAGGCAGAGTCATCCACTTGTGTCAGGGTGCTCGTTTTCGCCTGGCTGCCTTGCACAAGCTGCTGGGAGCTCTGGGGGGCTGGCATCATCTCTGGCCCCTGCCCCGCCAAGGGGGCTCCTGCCACAGTGGGGGCTGGTGCTGCCTGTCCCAGGCTGCCTGCTGGCCAGGAGCAACCAGCAGCTTCTAGGGCCACAGGACACCCCTCTGCAGCTTTGCTGGTGAGCCCTGCAGGGAAGGCTTCCTGCTGGCTGGTACCGTCCTCATGGCACTGCTGGCACCTCTGAGCGCTGGCAGCTGGCGTGCAGGTCAGGTCAAACAAGCGAGCTCCAGCAGAGCCGGACAGCGCGCATGGGAAGCCATTGCTGGCCTTCTCTCCACTGGGAAGTTGGGGGTGGTGCTTAGCAGACTGTAAGTCTCCCAGGCGGTCCTCCTCGGCAGAAGCTGTGACCAGGGAAAGCTTGGCAGACCTCAGAGGATCTGGTACCGTCCCCATGGACTGCCTCTGAGATGTGGCTTGCCCTCAGCTTCTCCTCAGAGTTTTCTTGCCCAGCAGTGAGTACAACAGGGCAGGCTGTTGACAACAGGCTTCCTGTAAAGCTAATCTGTTAATGAAAGAAACATAGTGTTAGCAACAGTCAGATTGAAGAAGAAAAAGTACCCAGAACAGATTAATTTTACAGCTTGGAAATACTTGCAAGCAATGGGGAAAGTGAAGCCCTTGGTTCTGCCTATAAGTCACATAAAGACACAGATTTCAAGGATCTCCCAATTCCATGGCCTGGATGGAGAAGACAACACTAGGGACAAAGCAACAACATCTGCCATGTTATTGATCCATTAATGAAAACACAACAATATGCCAAGAGGGAGGAAAAAAAAAAAAAGAAATCTGAAGAGACAGCAGGGATGGATGGGAAGGGGAGCAGACTTGCATGAAAGTCTGAGGTCACAAAACGAACTCACTGTGATAAAATCCTCTAACAAGCCATTTGTGGAAGGAATCGTTCTACCTTGCCTATTGTGCCTATGTGAAGAATAAATATGATTCCCACCTTGTGACTTGAGTAGATCCCACACATATGCTGACCAACAGTTTCCCCTTCTTCTCATGGAGAGCCCTTCTCTAACTCCCCTACCACCAGGGATGTGCTCACAGAGGGCAACAGGTCAGTTTAGACCAACGTGGATGTACCCAAACCTCACTGGTATAAGGAATATGGGGGGTCAACAATCCGCTGAGTGGTGCAGATAAACATCAAGAGAAGCTACTGCACCATGCAGCACCAGGTCTGCACACATACTCATTGCTTTCACATTTAGATCCTCTGAAATAATTACAAGGAAGTCAGCTTGATTAATAAATGGAGGCGCAGATGACCTAGAAATCAATTTACGAGCAGGTGGTATGAAACAGGAAGGGGGATACTGCAGCACTGCAGAACAGGAGGGGCCCATGCCATATCCAGTTGAACACTGGGGAGAGATTTTAAAAAGATGGGACAGAGTTATCCAGGTTGAAATCCGGCCAGGACTGCAGAGAAATCGTCACTTCAAACAGGAGGTGATCTCCAAATGTGCTTGTTGGCTGGGCTTTCAAAAGGACTTAGTGGTGCCCAATTCAGACCCTGCTAGAGGTCAAGGGCTGGATCACTGTCAGTGTCAGCAGAGTGGTGATGGTCAGTGATGAAATCCCACCCCAGTCTTCTTTGAAATTTCAAGTTACTCAAGCTTGTTTAAAAGGCTTTCCCCAGCTTATGCAGCCAGCAAAGCATGAATATGAGACTTAGGAGACAGCCTGAGCGTCTAATTTTTTGCTAACCAGAGGGATGACACCAGGAAAATGACTGTACCTCTGTGTCTCCTTTGCTACACTACTTGGGAAATGCTGCTGGAAGGAGCTGTGCAGTCGCTCAGGTGCTCTAGACCCTCTCTACCTGCTAGCAAAATCAGCAAAATCCCTTTCCAGAAAATATCCCTAAATCTCTTCCCTCTCTCAGCCTGAATGGCAGCAGTATAGTCTCTGTAAAATTGATTCTAAATTTCTGCACTTTAAGATACTTAGAAATAGCAACAGGAGAAAAAATGCTCAATGAGAGGAAAATGAAAACATATACAGCAGCCTATTTTTCTAAGAAAAGGAAGTGCTGCAAGTCATTACTTATTCATTAAGCTTTATGTTTTCCAGATATTAATAATTTATTATTTTTATACTGTCTGGTTGGGCTCTGTCCAACCACAGATATACATAGTCTGCTGGTTTAAGCCACTCCTGAGAAACTGTGATCCTAGTTCTGATGGGTCCTGAATTTCTTAGCTGCAATCTATAATAGCAGTCCTGTATCACTCCAAAATGGCTTTCCAGCAAGGCTAACGATTGCAATGCTTTTTGAGAAGTACTGGCTTTATGTAAGCCAGACTGCAAATCTATGAAAGTTTGTGACTGTCTACAAGGTGTCTCCACTTCGTTTTGAGCTCACTTCAAAGGGAGCCAAAATAGTCCTGAATGAAAGGAGAGCTATTCCGAGCTCAACATCTAATGACCATGAAGAGAGGAGCAGATGGCTTTGGGCATCTGTTTGTCTAACTTCTGTTACTCTTTTCTTTCCTTTTCCAAATATCAACACAAACCAAGCCAGTATATACAACTGGTCAGGTCACTTTTTTTTTTTTTTTTTTTTTTGTTTCAAAATTTTTTTTTTTTTAAAACAGCTACAC